TCTACAAGTAAGAAGACAGTACCTATTATTACAATTTTGTAAGTTTAGACTTGTAAGGGAAAAGAAAACTCTCCACTGTTGCCTTTATTGCAATCATTTGAGATTTGTTTCTAATAATGCAGTGCATTAGTAGTAAAAGACTTGTGATAATATTACTAAAAGAATTCTGCCTTGTTATTTGCATAGAGATACAAGTCATCTACAAGTAAGAGGACAGTACCTATTATTACAATTTTGTAAGTTCAGACTTGTAAGGGAAAAGGAAACTCTCCACTGTTGCCTTTATTGCAATCATTTGAGATTTGTTTCTAATAATGCAGTGCATTATGTGTTCTTTTTCTATTCATGTTTAGTAAGATCAGGATGCCATGTAGTAAATACCTCTAGCATCTCTAATAAAATGAGTGGGAATGTACTTCAATAAATATTGTGGTATTTTATTTTTTTCTGCAGTTGTTCAGCCACGATGTAAGTGCTGCAGTCATGGCTACAGCTAACATCATGGATTCTCCATCTATCTGTAATTGTAAAAGGCACTTTGGTTTTGATTTATTTTCAGATCATGCCTGTGGATATATAGGCGCACACCACTAATGAAACATCATTCAGATTCGGAATAGAGGCATTTAAAATCAGAATTCTCCATCAGTAATGATGCAAAACCATAAACGTTAGTTATAAAATTCTCTTTTTTAAAGCCTTAACTGGGTCATGCTGTGATGATTCAATATTGTGATACTGGGATGCCCTTTACTTTTGCTTTTGGTTGATGATAAAATCACTGGCATTGAATACACATGTATGCATGCCTGTGTGTGGCCCAGGCTGGGCTGAGCTTGGCATGCCTTGCATTATGACCTTTTGCCAAACCTCAGCAGTGGTTCTTGGGGAAAAAATGTAAACATACAACCAAATTTACCCTAGTTTCCTTATTTAGCTTAGTGAAAGTTGATACTCCTTGCTGTAAGACTTCAATATAAAAAACTCTGCTAATTAGAAAATGGGATACACTAATTTCAATATTTTAAAAATGTTAATTTTGTGAAAAATACAAATGGAAAGAAAGAAAGAAAGAAAATTCTCCAAATGTGGAATTTATACAGTGAGAGATCATTTAATTTACCTATATTATTCACATTTGGGGCTTACATAATGCCAAGAAAGAAAACACCTATTTTGTTAGGCCAGAAATATATGGAAACATTATGGAATAATACTAATTACTAAGAAAGTACCAGGATTGTGGGTAGTATAATCATCTACAATTTTCTGAGAATATCCTTACTAAAATGACCTAGCTAATTTAAGTGCAATTTCCAAAATAAGGAGACCAGATGTCTTTGTCAACAGTGCAACCGATGGACACTTTTCCTTGAAATAGTCTGCCTTTTCTAATATGAAACTGGACATTTTTATTCCTGTAGATGATAGTTTAGGATTAGGCTGTTTTTTTCCTATGTGGTTACAAGTTATGGAGAAACAGGAGTGTTGCCATAAAATGGAGCATAAAGGATTTCAGTAAGTGGAGGACCTTTTGTCTGCTTGGTTGTTTTGACTGTCATTAAAGCTCACCTGGAAATAGTTTACTACTCCTCTTGATTCCTTTGTTTGTTGTGAGGAGCTCATCATCTCATACAGCCTATGGTGCTGATTCATCCAGTTACAACTTGTGGAGCATTTAGATGAGCTGGCAGTTAACAGATAATGTGTATAATTGATGTAAAGCTGAAAATTGTCAGTTATTCCTGCTTTAAAATGTGGATGTTTGCTCTGAACTATGTGTTTAAGTTGGTTTTAGATGGATTCCAGTGTGAAGCATGAGGTGTAAAACAGCGTAGAAATGTATCTTATCAGACTGTTTTATTTTGGTTTGCTTGCTTGTCTTTTAAATTCTAAGAATATAGAAGCTCAGATAATGAGGACAGTGTCCTTTCTTTCTTTGCCACGTGAGCTCATTTCTGCAAACTAAAGAACTCCCTCTGACCTGTTTAGTTATATATTTAACCCAGTAAAAAGCAGAAGGGTCTGCATTTCATTCATGAGGATATTGTCAGAAGTGCAGCCTGCAGAAATCTAAGTTCTGGTGTTTGGTATGAACAGCATGAGAGTAGGCCAGATGTTTTGGTATGAATGTTTGAAGGTTCCAAAAAAATGAGGTATTGTATCACCCACACATTGAGTAATGCTAAGCTATCAAAGGAACATATGCTCCTGTCAGTTAATTTCTCACAGAATCACAGAATGGCCAGAGTTGGAAGGAACCTCAAGGATCATGAATCTCCAACGCTCCTGCCACGTGCAGGGCCACCAAGCTCCCCATTTAATACTATGTTAGGCTGCCCAGGGCCCCATCCAACCTGGCTTTGAACACCTCTGGGGATGGGGCATCCACAACCTCTCTGGGCAGCCTGTTCCAGCACCTCACCACTCTCATTAATAAAAAACCAATGATATTGAGCTGTCTTTGATGGGACTCTGGAGAAGAGACTGCAGAAGTTTTGTGTGAAGCTTTTTGTTTATAAGCAGGTGTGAAGAAAAAGCTTTTTCCAATTCTTACATAGTGTTTTTTTTTTATAATGAAAAATGTTATCAATTGTATTTCATTTGTGATAAAATCTGCTGCTGCCACTTTCATCCATATCCTGCAGGAGGAGACACCACAAGAGAGAAAAGTGCTTTGCCTGGATTAGGGAGTGGGGCAGAGTACCTGCAGGAGGATGGCTGTCATCCCTATTTCTCTCTGTTGTCTGTGGGGTTGTTTTGTGCGTGCTGGCATGTTCTGAAGGAACAGCCTTGAGATTTGTGTTTCTGCCTTTGCTATAGTTGGTGATTTTCTGGAAGAAAAGAGCTTACACCTAAGTCTAAATCTGTCCTAGTCCTTCATGCCCAAAGTCATCATAGATCTTGCAGCCTTCTCACAAATGCTCAAATCACCATCAGGATCCTTGCCCAAGTATCGCCCCTTTATGACACCTTTCCTTACCTATCTCCAGAACTGCTGCTTTCCCATTCCCCTTCCTTCCCTGCCTCTGGCTCATCCTATTGTTTCCTTAAGACTCTGGAGAATTTTATGGGCTCTCATTCCCTTTGTTGGCAGCTATGGTTGTGTCACCATATGGTACACTAGCAGGGAAAAGGTAACTCTTCTGGGTTTTATGCTTTCTGCTGGCTTAGCACCTAAGGGACTGTCACTGTGGCTCAGGCAACTAGGACTGACATGTGCTATGTAATGCATGTGCTTAAAGTATGTATATGTATTGACATGCACATGTTCTTACATCACTGTTTAGAAGTTACATCAGTGCTTGAAAAGTGTAATAGTGTGTTTTTAATATTTTCTTATAGTATCCATTGTGTTCGAGTTGGACTCAGATTAACCTATTTTATTGACTTCATTTTATTTGCATTATGAATGAATAATTATTTATTTTTGAAAACAACCGAAGCAAAGGAATTTTGACATATCTAAATGAAGCTAAGATAAAAACAGTATGAAACAAAAGCACTGTTTTTTGGAGAGACATAGCTGAAGTGCTTTCTATTGTGTCTCATAGTGTTACGAATCCTTGTTACCTGAATTTATGTTACATTTGATTGTAAGTATATGTAATGCTATCTGCATTTTAATAAGACTCAAATGACAGTTTATTGTTTCCTCTCAATTTTAAATCCGTACCTTCCTTCCTACTTATCTTCTATTTTGTTCAATGATGTCACAAGATGGGGTGCCTGCACATAGTTTTCCTGCTGTGCTTCTATAGCTCTGCATTTCTAATATGTAATACAAGATTTCTTGTACATAAGTAATCATGATGCAGGTTGAAAGCTGAACTCGACCTTTATGAGTCAGACTTTGACTAGGGACATACCACTTGTCAGCATCACTACTAAAGCAAAAAGGGTGTAAAACACAAGTTTTTGGAACTGCGTTCAAAAGACCTGAAAAAATTACTGTTAAAATAAAAAAAAACTGATTGTAAAATAATTCAAATTTAAAATTAAAATATGTCTTAGTGTGAGTTAATCATTTGGGATAAAATCTCACCCTATTGAGAGGGCATGTGGAACCATGATTCAACTCAGCATGCATTTTATTTGCAATAAAATAGAGAGTCATAAATAAGGTGACTCTGACTGCTATCATTTGGCAGAGGTGAAGCAGTGGCTGGTATGTGCTGGAAGTGGCCAATCTGAGAAACAGCACTGATATTATTGCACACCAGTCATTCCCTATGAATTGTAAATTGTCAGAAGATGAACAGTAGCTGTGCAAGAATTTGCAGCACTTGTCACCGAAGCTTACCTATCTAATTGCACTGAAGGCATTTCCTCAGTGTTCACATCATGGAGAGGCCTGAAACAATATAAAACATAGTAAATCTCTGTGGGCACTGAACTGATAGAAGTGTCATGGCCCCAAGCACAAGAGCAGTTGAGATTACTAAGGCCAGTAAGATCTTTATCTGCACAACAACTGATCCTCTGGATGTCACCAGCTACAAAATGAAGCACCTATCTGCCAAACGTGAGAAATTACTTGTATTTCAAGACAGAAGGCTGACCTGTCTGTTTATGTATTGCATGACAGCTGCTTTGCCTACATTACATGGAAATGAGAAATGTATTAAATGTAAAGTGCACAGCACAAGTAATAAGCAAACTAAAAGGCTCTTGTTTTGCTGACTATTTTATTCACTCATTGATTAAAACATTTTTCCTGGGGCAAGAATAGCTGGTAAGCTTGTTTAGAAAATTGCAAGTAAGAGAATAATTAAAACAGGTATTCTTTTAATCTAATATTAACCTTATAATTTAGGAAAATATGGTTTTATAAACTGAAAAAAATGTGATGGTTTTGGTGCTGCATTTTAAAAGAAATTACATCTTTTACAGAAGACAAATAAAGATTAGAATTGCATTACATTCATCATTCCTCTTGTATAGCATTCGTACAATAGGGAAAGTGGTAATTAATTGCTCCTTCTCTTATGTCTTTCTAGAGATCTGAAGAATAATTTGATTAGCACAATTGAGCCAGGGGCTTTCCATGGACTTTCAGAGCTGAAACGCCTGTAAGTATTAATTCCATTTGAATTATTCTGAAAACTGTGTTTGTATCAACATTTCTATCCTTGGGCAACTCACATATGCCACCAAGCAATAGTAGAATGAGGACACTGTCTGGAGAATAAAAAATCACACGTTGTACTTTTTACATTTACCATTCTTTTCTTTTCCTTTTTCTTTTTCTTTTTACTTTTTTTTTTCTTTCTTTTTTCTTTTTTCTTTTTTCTTCTTTCTTTTTTCTTTTTTTTTTTCTTTTTTTTTTCTTTTTTCTTTTTTCTTTTTTCTTTTTTCTTTTCCCTCTTTCTTTTTTTCCCATTTAAGTATACGTATGCTTTCCAATAAATGTCTTCATAGGTACTTCTGCAAAGTTCAAGACACACCTAATTATTGATGTAGCAGCCAGTACATCACTGCAGACATTCATCGGAAATAAAACCAAGGGTTTTAAACAAGTGTAAGCATGGCAGTGTAAGCATAGCTTTGTGCTGTGCTAAGATTTGTATTTTTTTTTATTTTTCCTTATGCACAGTTTGCTTACTTTTATCACAGGTCAAGTCTGTAAAATAAGTTCTTAAAAAGGAAACTTTTTCATCTTTCAGACAACTTGCCTACAATTTTCTTATCTCTCGCATTAACTCTGCTGGATGTTCTTTTTTATTTTTGCCCTTTTAATATGCAATTTGTCCCATCTGTCATTCCTGTATTCCTCTCACTGCCAATCTTCTCAATCATTTTCATTGACTGGTTTTTAAACTACATTTGTAAAAAAGTAAAAATATCAAAGTTCTACAAGAGGGGCTTTTTCCTTTTATTTAATAAGGGTTACAGATCCTCATTCATTCTTCACAACTTGAAACCTCTTTTTAAAGTGTTCCAAGTGCCAGCATCCAAATGGCTGTGTACAGCAAAGCAGCCATCAGGGCCTGAAGTCTGCTAGGCATTGTGCACACTGTCTCAGGTGAAGACTTATGAGAAAATGGGAATTATTTTAGGAGAATAATAAAATTTAGATGATGAGGAATGCAATGTGAGAAAAAAAAAATTTAATGTCTCCTTTTTTTCTCTGAGGTTAAATCTCTGATTGAACTATCTAAATAAAAGTTTCAATCTCTGATTGCACAGCTAGCAGTGTCTTCTGACACCAACCAGTAACTTTCAGTGTGCTTGGTTACAAAGCCAATGATTTAGTACTTACCAAAGTCAGAGCATCCTATGCATTTTTAACGCAAACAGAAACATAAGGTTGGCACTTCTGTGTTCACTGTGTTTAGGGATAAAACAATGAAATGATCAAAACAAGCACTAATTATTGCTTTGGCCACGTACTCTAATAACACAACCCTGACCTCTGGTGGGAAAAACGAGAAGCCTGTTCATGTGCTGGGCTGTGTGCTGGAAAACAGGTGAAACTTAGATCAGCTGTCAGAGAGAAGTCCAAGAAGAACAAATCATTTGATGTTAGGAAAAATGAGAAGAAATTAGAATATTAGGAATGATAATGTTAGGATTTCACAGGACAGAGCTGAAAAAGACCCCTTCTTTCTAGCATGAACATGTAACGCTGGGAACAATCAAGAGACAGTGAGTTGATTAATTACCAGCTTGTCGAGTTTGATACAAATAGGTATAATTTGTGGTAAGAAAATCTCTGCAGTCTTCAGCTCTTCAACAATTGGGTAGCAGACAGCTGAGCAGAAGCTATAAATACTATAAACTCCTGTTGAATGCTGAATAGAGTCATTACTTTAAGGCTGCACTTTATATTCATATCTTCTTATTTCACATGTTGAAGTTGGTGTAAAATGGGCAATTGCAGGAGATACAACTATGTCAAGGCAGACAGATAAACAGCAGGCTGTCAACATCAAAATGTTTTTTGCAAATGATTTGCAGAAATCTTCTAATTTGTATTCAAATGAAAAATTGAATCATTTCAAGAGTTTACTTAAAAAGGGACAAAGAAAACGGCTGCAAATTGAAAATTTATGAAGCACTGAAATTATGACGCTTGGTTATTCAACAGGGGAGAGTTTTGCTCTCTCTCACATCAATTTAACAAGTCAACATTATTAAGGTAAATGTCTTACTCCTGAAAAGGAGCATCAGCTTTGTACATTATGAATTGAGTAAAACCTAATATAATGTGTGTTAGTCTGGAGGAATATGCAGAAAGCTATCTTTTCTTTTTGCGATTAAAAATGGGTTTTATAATACGAGATTTCAGCCACGTATATCTTACTGTGAAAATAATACTGATAAAAGCCTTCAGAAGGGGAAAGATAGCCTTTTGCTTTGTTAAAAATACCATTTTACTGTCTCATATTTTGAGAAAAACACTGATTTTGATTAGTTTAGGTGAAATTTACTCCTGCCACTCAAATCATTCTCCACATTTTGATGTGTGTTGTTCTGTATGTGTTCAGACTTTTCAGGATGAAATAAAGCATTACCCAACTAAGAATTGAGTGGGTTCCTGCTTACTATTTAATTCTTTAAGGGAAAGATACATATGAATAAATGTGTATTTGTCTTGAGGTTGTGTTTTAAGAGTTTGCATGTAACTTTCACTAGAAAAATTTGGAGAATAACTATATTTGCAATTTTGGCACTGTGTTGTTCTGCAGACTATTTTCTTCATCTGTTGCCTACTTCATATCCCTGATTAGCATTTAAGAAATATTTTCATTCTAATGCAGTATTTCATCATTTCATTGTACAGCAATATACTCTTTGACTGATGGGAGAAGACTTTGTAGTGAATTCCAAAGACATTGCCTTCACATTCTAGCAGATGGGGTTTTTCTCCATGAAAGCAACAACTGGATTTATCAAACTCATTCATCTTTATTCTCTTGTTTTGATTGTTTTTGTTCTCTTGTAGTAAGAGAAAGATATTGTTGCACAGTGCAATAAAGAACTTAGAAGGCCACCACTGATTCTATAACAAAAATATATTCAGATAAAATTTAATGTCTTAGTGGACATTTAATCACTTAAAATACTTAGATTAGTAAAGTTATATTAAAAAAAAAAAAGTTGATATTAAGGAAAACAGTGGAAAATCAAATAAAGTTAAACATTATTTCAAAATATTCCCGAGGGCAGAATTCCTGTTGCTATCACAACATGAGTGTTTATACCTTCTTTTGTTTCCTTTCTAAAAGGATTCTGTACATTTTGTTGTACATATTAGTCGTAGAGGAAGCGCCCATTCATCTTTCTGCAGACAGCAGTTACGGAACATAATGTAGCATTCGTAGTCTGAGGCAGCCACTGTATTGTTCTTGGAAGAGCTTTCCTAGTGCTTATCAGGACTAAACTTCTTATTGGCTGAAAAATTAACTGCTCCTTGGTTTCTGTGACTTCTTCAACAAGAGAGAATGGTACCCATGAGAAGATACGTTAGTGAACAGTAAAAATGTGTCTATCTTGACTAACTATTGCACACAACAAAGTGGAGGATACATAATGCTTTTCAAAAATAAACAAGAAGGCACTAATAAATGTGATAAAGAATAAATCTGTTGTTTTGAAGATAAGTTTTGCTTTTTTATTTATATAATTGCATTCTAATGCAATTAATACAAGCTGCAGTGTGGTATGTTTAAGTGTAGAATATTGCTAAATAGCCTTTATATAATGTTGTGAGAGCTGTTTAATTCAGTCATGTTACTGAAGAAAGCTTTATTTCTCTCTTGTATCTGTCTCCTTAAGCATTAAAATTAAAGAGGCTGTTTGTGATTATCTGGGTGTATATATGAATAACATAGAACTAATGTTTTACCGTTGTGTTTTTTTGTTTGTTTGTTTTTTTCTTTCAGAGATCTTTCAAATAACAGAATTGGTTGCCTAACACCAGAAATGTTTGTTGGACTTAGCAGTCTTCATAAATTGTGAGTATAATACTTCTCTTGTTTTAAATAGGAGAAATCTGAACTACTGCATGACTTACTTGACTACAGTTGACAAACTTTCATTATATCAAAATTAATTTCATATAGTCTTCCCATAAAAGTGAAAAAACCTCTACTGACTTGACTGTGATGACTTGACACTTTAAAGATGATTATTCTATTTTCAAATGTAATATATATCAAAACTCCAAATAAATTGTGCATACAACATTTGTAAAGATGCTGAATTTCTGTTTGCATGTCATGCAAGCAAATAAAGGTCAAATACCCAAATTATGATTCATAAAGTTGTTTTCTAATGCTGGTTAGAAAATTGATACATTGCTCTTTTGATCCACTGGAGATCAGTTAGAATTTTGTAGCTTTTTTTTTTTTGTTCTTAAAATGTATTACAGAAAAACTGTACAGCCATAGACAAAATGCATAAAGCATTATTTAAATTTGGAACGTCAGAGTAGTTCCAATTGCTTGAGAAATGTGAAATTTAGGCTGCCCACTGAAGATGTTGTATTGTTCACACCATTTTTTATGGTACTTTCTGAGTCTTTAGTTTATTGTGTACAGTGACACTGGAGCATGCTCTAGGGAGCAGAGCAATTGACTTGCCTATCCTTATGTCTCAGCATTTGCTGGGTCCATAGATTTTGAGACAGTTAGAAAAGAAGCACTCAGAAACAAAAAAAGATCATAATAGTATACCTGGGTTGTTCAATTTCAGAGAGAATCTGGTGAATCTGGAAAGTATAAAATATGTGATGGCCAAATTTACTAGAGATGATAAGTTTATCATGGCCTGAGGAGACGAAAGTTGATTTTGAGGAATGACAGAAGTAATGGAGAGGATTCCCTGACAGCACAGTAAAATGGAAATGAAATTTAATGGAAATATATGTTAAGTGATGTAGGGAAGAAAAAAAGTTCTGGGCTAACCATTAAAACTTGGGAAAGATGTTTTGAGATGATAGTGGATAATGTCATGAAAACAGCTGCTCATTGCTCAGTATCACTTCAAAAAAAAATACAAGTATTATTAATGAAAGGGAGAAAAAATCAGAGAACGTATATAATACTACAGAAAGAAAGTTAAGCAGCTGCATTTTGAAAAATATTGGCAGTCTTTCTCAGTCCACTGAGCTAAGGAAAGTGATCAAATCTCTGAAAGGCTCAAGGCAAGATAGAACGGAGTGGTGAGAGGTGCAGCACTAGGAATGAATAAGTTGCCTGCAACTTTCCTGGCTGGGAAAGGGACAGTTGAGAGGAAGGGAGGTGTGATACGAGACTCTAAAATTCTGAATAACATAATAGAGATGAACAGCGACCTATTTTTCATCATCTTTGACAGTACAGAAACTAGAGGATACTGAGAAAAAATACTGAGGCAAATTGGAAAAAAAAGCAAACCAAAAGGAAGGTTTGTTGTCATTATTTTTTAACAAAAGACAAAGCTGAGGTACACATTGCTGCACGATTCTCTTAAAACTTTACATGAATTCAAGAGGCTATGGATAATATTATGAAAGAGAAGTCCCTGCTGGATTATTGAATTCATAGAAACCTGGTATTGTTCAGGAAATTCTTGAGTTTCAAATATTTGGAGGTTAAGAGAATAAATGGAGGAAACAATATTTTGTTATACACTTTTCAGTGTATCCTGCTGAGAAAGACCCAGGAGGGCTCTGCATTTTTATCTACATCTGCCTTCATTCCTGAATGGGGAATCAGTCCTGTGTCACAGTATGTTACAAATCTCAAGCTTTATTTTCTTTCTTTCCAAGACAGTTTTGGAGAAACTGACCTTGGAAAAAACAGGAAACTCTTTCTAGAAAGATCTGCCAGGAGATCAAAATGATGCTGGGTAAAAGGCCCAAAACTGGCATGTTTAACTCATTGCATTATTGAGAGTAAATGTGCCAGATCTCCTCTGATGTATACAAATGAGAAAAGACAATGGAAGGAGCCTTGATAGCAAGTTGCCCACTTCTCTTTTTGCTCATCTCGGGCATGTGGTCAGATTGGGCAAACCCAACCTGCCTCTGGGGGTTGCCATGTTTCCTTTGTTGTGCTCAGTGAACGTGACTATGACTGTGAAGTCAGATTATCACAGAAGGTACGTTTAATTCAGAGTGGTGAAACTACCTTCTAGACAGTACGAGCAACCTCACCAGAAATTGTTCAAATCCCTGCAGTCTTGGCAAAAAGTCTAAAAATTTTATTCATAAATTGTTCCAAACCATCTTAACTGCAAAATTTCAGTCTTGTGAATATAAAGAACAGAAATTAATTCACAGTGAGTTTTCAGCATTTGTTCTGTGGCAGTGTTTGGCTATATTTGCCCTTTCCTCTGAAGGCCAGGATGGAGAGTGGAAGACTACCTCTGTATTCTTGGCTTGTGTCAGAAAGCAGCATGTATGCATGGCAAAGCTCAGTAGTTACCAAGCTGTACCAACCAAAGCATTACAGTGTCCCTTGGGAAAACAGGCTCCCAAATCCCTGCTCCCTCTGGTAGTCGAACTCTCACCCTGCCACAGTGCTTGCAGATTTTCTTCTGAGCATGCAGATCCAGAGAAAGTCTCATCAGTTCCCCATATGTTATGTTATCACTGTGTTTTCTTGCCTCCTGTCTTTTTATGCATCCTAGGTAAATATTTATTCTTTCCTCACTATGAGGCTAGATTTCATTTCCGAGTGTAAACTCAGCACTTTCTGCATTGTTTTAATCTGTGCTTCCAGTTTATAGCTGAACTTTTAAAGATGCCTTTCTTAATTCAAACTCTCAAGTGAAATTCTTGTTACACTTTTTACTTTAAATAATATCATTTAGTGAAATTATTTGATCTACTATCTTCAAGTACGCTCACCTCTTCTTAGAAAATGGTTCTCTTAATGTTGACTAGACTTGGTGTTGTTATTACCAGATTTATTTTCACGTATTTACTTTTCTGAGCCAAAATTGCTAGAGAATTCTTCTTTATGGATGTTATGTCCGTGTGCCAGTGCAAAAAAAGATGATTCTGATAGACCTGTTAGTTTGACTTCACTTGCAGTTACCGGCTGAGTTCTGAAAAAAAGTAAAACAGAAAAAATGTTGGCAGATTGGGGTTTTCTTTCATCTTTTATAGTATGCTTTTACTGAAGATATATCATGTAAGCATATTAATAAAACCAGTGATTTTCTAGAAAAGGAAAATTACTGATTAATTTTAGTGTATATCTAGCATTATATTACATCAGAAGGAAAAAATGTAAAATTTATACTAGATTTTTTTTGTGTGATGAGATCTAGTATTGAAGGCATCTATCTTCCCTGGTATTTTTAGATTCTAACTAGTTCTGCATCTTACTAGTCATTCTGTAGGTGATCTTAGGAAAGATCATTTCTAGAATCTAATGATGCATTTCCCACAAAATGCATATAAACCAGGCGACCAACATCACTGAAAAGTCAGAAATTAGATTTTTAGTAGCAATTAGATATATTTAGGTTACATATAACGTCTGCTCTTTCTCACTTATTATTTGTACTAAGAACTGGTTAGTGTAGTAAACCACCATCTTTTGGTAGATTTTCCAAAGAGTAACTTCATTTTTAGTAAATCTCGCAATCTCTGTACTTTCTGAATTTTAATAGCATTTTCAGTTTATTATTGGCTCTCTACATCTTTGATCTTTAAAAATATATATATTTCTCAAGGCTTAGTCATTGGTTCACTTTTTTGTTCTCCATTTTTAAAATTTGGGCTTTAAACCACTTTTCTACAGTTGATTATATTATTAAGATCATCCTGCATGCCAGTTCATATACTTCAATAATTCCTCTCCATTTACTTTATTATTTTTCAATTTTTATCATTTCTGAAGTCTGGAACTCAGAGGCCTAATGGTAGATTAGACAAAATTTCTTTTTTACCAAGAGTAAATCAGTTAGTGTTTACAGTATCAAAATTTATGACTTTATCTTTTATGCAAGCTGTCATCTTTAACAATCCAGAGTCAAGAGCAGCATTACTCTTGTTGAGTTGGTGATTATGTTGTGTCACTACCATCACAGTTGATAGGAGCAAGTCCCCACCATTCACCATGTTACTTGCTCCTCTGTCTCAGAAATCTGATTAATGACATAATTATTAATAATCGCTTGAGTTGACAATTTTAATTTGCCTTGAATGTAAGAACTAGTGGGTTTTTTTTTTGTTTTTTTTTTGCTGACTATGGGCTAATTCAGGCTTCCTTAGGCCTAACACTTTCTAGCATTTTTTTTTCCCTTGGACTTTTTTACAAAAAATTTCCAAAAACAAGTTATTTCAATCTATAAATTACAATAAGCCTCCTTTGTGTTGCTAGCGATACCTCTGAATCATGTTTACTGGTATTTTCAGGAGTGTGTTCTCTGAAAACAGTGTGGAGTGGCATTTACTTAATATAACATGAATGTAAAGAATTGTATTAAAGAAAAGATGACAAATTCTTAAATAATAAACTGATTTAATAACCACCAATTATGGGTGAGAATATCAAAGGAGCATTATAAAGATATATAGAGAGAGAAATAATGATTTATGCAATTGTTGATAGCATGAAATTAGAGCTCTCCTGTGTTACTTTAGCAGAGATGAAAAGATCTTTGCAGGCTGTTATCCAAACCAGTAGGGAGAGCCGTGAGTCCACTGGAAAGAGCAAAGGACATAAATCCTTATGCACCTTCTGTGAATTATACAGATGAGCTCTCCTGGTCCTGTTTATGAGCACAAATACCAGGTGAAACAAAATAATGCAGTTGTTCTTGGCTTTGTAAAATAAAAATGTGGGAAGAAAAAAAGTAAAAAATCAGCTAAGCTGACATAACTTTTCATCAAATGATGTGACGAATATATCTAAACTCAGTAGGATAAATGTATGTAAACATACTTCTCTAAAATGAAAGGTGAAATTTGTCTAGCTTTTAGGGATTATGCAAGGACTCTTCAAAGGGTTTGATGATTTCATGTAGACTATACTGAACAGGGCAACCTAAGGGTTTCTTAAATTTATACTAAAAAATAATAATTAGTAATATCATCAAATACTGTTTTGAAAACATAAACACATACGAAATCCAAATAGAACTTATAAGCCTCTTAATCATGCACGTAGGAAAAAGTTCTCTTACTCAGGTCAGGATGTACATTTTTGTGAATTGGAACTGAATTTCAAATTACTAATGAAATCTAAAATTTCGTACGGCTCCCTAAAATCACTGCAGGCAGTGAATTGTGATTATGTTCCTTGAGGGTGATCTAATTTTTACACCTTCTTGGATTTGATGATTTTTTTCTTGAAAAATGATTTCAAAATGCATTCACATCGTTTGACAGATGTATCTGACAGTGCCTCAGACAGCATAAGAGAAGATTTATTATGTCTTCTAAGATATTAGCTTAACTTTTTTGACTTAATACATCATCCTTCGGCTGTGTTTATGCTGTGCTGGGGTGCACGTATTCTAACTAGGACTGACATAATTGAATGCAACAAATCTTCCAGATCTCCTTCAGTCCCTCAGAGGCCATGTTTCAATGCTTTGTTCCAGAATGATGTATGCAAATATACTTTTGGTAGGTAATGGTGTGGCCATCCATACTAATTCTGTTTATACTTAATTTAAATATCATGAGCTATGGAATACTGGGTTGGTGTACTGGTTGACCAGATATCATCTTAATAGTCCCCAATAAGTTAGTCCTTCAGGTTTGGCATTTTAGTACATTAAAACCTATTTCAGCAAGCAACTACTGCTGGATCTTCCTTTAAGAAGTTCCAGACAGACCTTCCTCTTTACTTCTAACTGTTTGATTAAAGTACATCTGATTTATTTGTCATCCCGGCTCTGAATCATTATCACCAACTAGCTTTATGATAATATTATACCATAAATTCTTGTGTGACTTTGTTGCTGTCATTGAAGAAACTACTCCCTTTGTATGGTGCTGGAGATAAAGTACAAAACCAGAATAACAGTGTGAATCACATAGACCTCATACTGAGAAAGTGTGCACCAGAGCCTGCCCTCTATTTGTGCTGTAGGTTTTATACCTTCTCTATCAAGTCTTTTTGCACAGAAGAATCTACTGCTTTTTCATTCAGCCTCTGCTTTCTAATACTGCTTATAAGAGTGAAACATACTTCATGTTCATATACTTTGTTTCCACCTGTACTTTGCCTCAAATCAGTCCTTCGAGGTGCATTTGGTTGTTTTATGGTATTTGTTATTTATATTAAAGCTTCTGGCAGAAGTGTTTTATTAATTTCTGTAAAAGCATGGAGTATTTGATATATAAAAAAATAAGTGCACGACTGTACATAAAGCTAAAATGGTTTACCTCTGATATAACAGAGAGCACATGTTTCTATTAATGCAGTAAGTTAATGGCATAGCAAGTGCTATCAGCTTTGGAGTGCATTAATTTGTTATGTTTGAAATGTTTGGAAACTAGGTGATAGGGATGTTTTAAGAACAAATTTCCTTTTAAGTCAAGCTAGAGTGGGTTTTTAAGATATCTGAAATGGTGGAATTTCACAATGCCGTGGTTATAGAAATATTTTAATACAGAATATAAATTTCATGTGAGCCAAAAGAACCAGGCATCTGCAGCATGCTGCAGACATCTAGCTCAGAAGTGCTCAGTTATTGGGTGATTTAATAATGCTCCAGACTGCTTTGTTAGCAAAGAGGCTATTCCCAGTGTTGGGGAGATCCAGTCTTATATATTGTGCTTGTTGGATTTAGAAATTTATTTGTGATTTATACAGCACTGTAAACATGATACTAGTTTGCTAATTAGCAGTAATAATGTGGAAATTTTGAGCCAGGTCATTATCTGAATATGAAAGAATATGAAAACGGACTTACTGGCTCTGTGCTGACTTCTGAACTGTCAGGAACTCTGTTATTCCACTACTTGCCAAAAGCACTGAAGAAAACATGTATATCTCACAATGAAAAGTTTCAAAAAAATCTGTGAAAAGAACACATTAGGAATTTTTAGTTTGACAAAAGGCAATTCTGGTGAGATATCTCAGTGGGCTTGGAAGGACCTATGGAAAGTGCATAGATTTATCAGATGTAGGATGGGCATCTTCAGCAGGTGAATAGCCACATTCTGTTTGCTGAATTGAACTTTTTCAGCATATGCTTAGCCAGGGCTTATGTCCAATAAGCATGAGTAGGCCCATTTAATTTTAAGTAAAGAGGCTATCTTATATGTACCTACACTTCAAGGCAAATTAGAAAGCCCTTCCATTTCCAAGAGCTTAGTGCTTCAATTGTATTAAGGGTGCACTGTTAAACAAAATACTTGCAATGACCTCAATTATATCAACATATCTTACTGTCACTCAGTATAATGAGAAATAATTTCACTTAACTTTGCTGAGCCAGTTATTTTTCTCTATTAGTAGAGTTTTGCTTAAAGCTACCATGAAATTTTGAATTGTTCAAAGCCTTTTTTTTGATTGTTGAAAAATTACTTTTGTTCCAAGAATTGCCAAGAATACAAAAATAAGATGAATTATTTCCAGAAGGCTCTACAACTTATTTTATTTTACAAGTACTTAAAAAGACAGCATTATTTGATATTAAGCATTTACTTCTTGTACTTTTAAAATGCTGATTCAACAGTAATATTGAATGAGGAAATATTAAATTGCATCTGTATGCAAGTATTCAGCTTAATCCATTCAGACATCAAGACCAAAAATATAGTAAAACAGTAGTTAAAATGGAAATGGCCTTAAGAACGTGATGATAGGGAACATCTGTTTATTTAAAGTCTTTTGTAATAAAAATGTTTACTTTGAAAACTCACTGCTATTTAAATAAAATGCTAGGATTCATCTACACATTATTAAACTGATACTTTTATTTGTTTACCTTGAAATAGCGTTCTACATAAACAGTAAATTAAAACATAGGTCTTGGTGAAAAATCACTGAGTGAATATTGACACTGAAATTCTAGAGTATATCACTTCTGTTAAATATATACAGAAACTCCTGTTTCTTAAATGGAATGAATTGTATGTGTACCTGCTGGCAATATATAAATTTAAATGTCTGTGTTGTGGTCAGGAAATTACATTTTTTTTTAATTAGCACTTGGAAAAAAATTACTCTAACAATTTTGTTTTCATGTATTTGCTATATCCATAATTTACTTTTTTTTTTTTCTAGGAATTTGTCAGGGAATATTTTTTCAAGTCTCATGAATGGACTCTTTTCTGAGTTGCTAGCTCTGAAAGCACTGTAAGTATGATTCCTTCCCTTCTTAAAGAGCCAAGAAAAACATTGCAATGAACACAGTGTAGTTGAATTCAAACAGAATTATTTCTATCAATGCTTTAGAAACATAAAATATACAGTATTTTCTTACCAATGTCTGTGTCTGCGCTGAGAATTTGGCGCGGTTCCTGACAAACCCACACTGGCAATCCTGAATGGCATCCGTATTTATTCTTTTCTACTTTATGATTTTACGCCTTTCCATATTTGTATGCATTACATTGTGTGATAACTGAATAAAAAAACAAAAGCACTCATATTAAAAACTTTGTCTAGAACTATAATGACAGTTCTGGGCTATTTATATTAAATGCACCTCTCTGAGACTTAAAAGTATACATTGGATGTTTCCATGATTAATTTTCTACTTGAAGGTGTTTTAGTAATTAAATGTATTTTGCAGTGTGGCTTTTTATAGTACCACCTATTCACATATAAGTCAGTAGTCAGAAATACTGTTCCCAAATAAAAAAAAAATTTGGCATAATGTTTTGAAAGACATTAGGATTGGGACAGTGTGCATTATTTGTCTCAGGTTATCTGTATACACATCTATACAGGATTATCTTTAGAATGTGATAATCTGTATTTGAAAGACTTTGAAGAAAGTTTGTGTATGAAAATTGTGTGCACGCTAACTGTGCTGTTCCTTTGTTCTTCTAGGCATTTCAACACTGATTCACTCATTTGTGACTGTAATCTGAAATGGGTCTTACAATGGGCTAGAAATGCTTCAGTCCGAATTGCGGAGGAAACTGTTTGTGCTTACCCCAGTGCTTTACAAGGACTGTCTTTTCGTAACCTGAAGGAAAACCAATTGATATGTGGTGAGTTGCACTGGTGTTTAACATCACCAACTGGAGTGGATTTGAGAGAAAAATGTTTAAAAAAAGTAGTAGTATCGCCAAAAAAAATATTAATGGCTCTGGGTTTCTTATAGCAGCAAGAAATTTAGGTATAATGCACAGAAAACACAAGTAAGATTAAAATAGAGTGGGAAAAACACAATTTGCTTATTTCATCTGAAATTGTATGTACATGGAGAGAGCACCATTGTCCTGTCTATATATTAGGTAACGTATATTCATGACATGAAACATTAATACGTGATGGTAGCCCTACATTATATATTGCATGAAACTGAAGTTTCCTCGAGGAATTTAGAGAATGTTGCCTTTAAGTTGTATTTCTGACACAAATATCAGACTTTGTTCTTTTATTTTTCATTTTGTAAATCTGTTCTATACACTTCAGCACCGCTGCCTATGAATAGGATTTTTAGAGTTGAATGTTAGGCAAATTCTTTAAATTTAGATCTGTAAGTGAATTGCTTTCTGAGATTTTCCACTGTAGGAAACATAAAGGATATGGGATGAGGAAGAAAACAAAAAATACAAACGAGTAAAGAAAATTCATCTCTGGCTGAACATTATATAGCATAGGACAGAGAAACATAATGAATTTAAAAGTTACACTGCATAGAAAATATCCCTGTCTGTGTGCTGGTGGGTTCCATAGTCAGAAATATTATTTGACGCATACTTCATTAATCACAGAATCTTTGGATCTTTGACTTTCTTGAATGACAGAAAGTTGGTGGGGTGATGACTTTGCTAATACCTTGTGGAAATGAAAGAAAAGCCACACTTTTATTCCCATAATCACCAAAGGAATGATGTGTGTTACTAACACTTTCCTAGCAGAATGGAGATCAGGGTCAATTGGAGTCCTAACAAAAAATGTGGTTTAAACAATGGCCAATAGAAATGTTTACAAGTTGTGAGAGATGTAAAAAGCTGTGAACCATAGGTCATTCAGTGGCTGAATTGTTAAGGAAGCACAGATATTCAGCTAGAAAGAAATAAGGAATGTGCTCTTGTGAGTGAAAGGGTGAGAAGCTTCCAGTAGCCTGCATTAATGATCATTTGAAAGTCTGCAATTCCTTCCAAATATCAAGCTACCACTTTACAGAGACCCAGCATGGGCATCTTCATAGAGATCCATTTCCCAGCAGGAAAAGTGCTGCTCCTGAAAACACTGGAACGATCAGAAGAACTCATTAAGGGCTGCTAATTGGTATTTCCAGGTTGCCAATGAATATGAGCCTGCAAATTTTACAGATGAAATGAAACAGCAGTTTCTCAGAATGTCATACTTCAATCTAATAGGACTCCCTAGCACACCTCTGATACAGAATTTATAAAACTCATCTAGCCCTTACCACTGTTTATTATGTCCAGAACACTTGACAGGATCTGTAATGACTGCCAATAACTTGACACCACTTTTAATATCCTCAGAGAGCTTGCTGTTGATTGTATGTGCTGAGTGTTCCACCAGCTCTGTAGTGCCTGCCAGGTGCTTCATGGTGCTCATAATGTCTGTTGAGCAGCTCATGGTGCCCACAGCAGTAAGCAATTTCATAGTCAGTAGATTAATTTGAACTTAGGCGTAATATAAACCTCTCTGGGACTAAAATAATAACAACTATTGGGAATGTTTACTGAGTAATATGTGTTGAAATATGCATACAGCTGATCAGATGAAGCATATCTTAAAGAAAACATTAAGAAGTGGTTTATAGATTGAAAAGTGCCCATGAACATCTTCCACACTGCCAAAAGTTTGTACTTAGATTTACTGATCTTCCTTCTGTATGCTAGAAGATACTCATGAGGTATCATTGTCACAAGATGAGAAAAAAAAAATTGAAGGGGAAAAAATTAGTAGGAAAAAGGCAAAAATCTTCATAGGGTAGAATGAAGCAAAAAGTCAAAATATGTGACAGGGAATGAAGGAGCAACTAGACAGTAAGAATTTCTGAATAGCTACAGGGGATAGTTTGCCATGAGCTTTTTACATCTGTTTTGCATTTTTATAAGAGATGAAATCATCTTTCAAATTTCTTCTTGGCAAATCCTTCTCATACATCTGATTACTGAAGTTAGCCAAAGACACCCATTCAGCAGTTAGATAAGTGCTTTTGGGATTTTTATAAAAGTTAATCTAAGTAATAGCACAGTTTGGAATTCACAAGAATCTACTTCCACATTTTGTTAACAGCATGTAAGAACTACTTAAATCTTCTTTAACAAAAATCTCAAGCTCTCAGAAATGTGCCATAAAGCAATTTTTGACAGGTTTGGAAATAAAGCTGAAAAGTTGTTTGACTATAAAAAAAGTGAATTGCTTTCTGAGATTTTCCACTGTAGGAAACATAAAGGATATGGGATGAGGAAGAAAACAAAAAGTACAAAGATAGTTTTTTAGTTTTGTACTTAAACATGAGGGACTGCAGTGAGTTCATAACAGTATGGACAGAATGTAGTTCTAAAAAATGATGATGAATTTGGCTTCATGTAACTCCTTCTTACTGTTTCTCCATAATTTCAAATAAAACTTACTCAGTTTACTGGAGGAAAATTACATTTTCATGAATATCCAAATGCAGCACTCTAAATTCCACCTGAGATCTGAGAGTATTCTGTGATTTTTTCTCTTGTGCTCACCATCATCAGAGTTTGATTCTATAGGCCATGTTTTTCATTCAGTGAAGACTTGTATGAGTTTGTCTTAATGGGATTACAAAAGATAGCTCTTAAAGGGAGCTTAACTAGACAGATGAGTGAAATACTAGACTTTATTTTCTGTCTCAGAGTTACACTGATATTATTGAGCTAACAGTTTCAAGTAGTAAAAGTTCATTTGTTCTGAAAATTACAACTGTCAATGTAATGCAGAACATTGATGTTTGGAAACGTGCTGACTTCCTGTCTCCGTATGTTTGATTTTGTTTAAAGTTTAGAAAATAGTTGACAAAATACCAGTTCTGGAACAGATAACTGCTTCTCACATAGGTCTTCTACAAATTAATGTACTACTTTTATACTTGTAGATTTTTTCTACAATTGGGGTCAGTCTCTGATCATTTTTAACTAAAAATGTGCTTAAAAAGTAATATATATATTTAGGAAATATATTGAAAGCATTTTGACACAATATCATATTGTTTTGCAATTTCTGTGCACCAAGTGAAAAATAAAATGCACGTATTCAGTTATACTCTTAATACCAGTAGCTTTTCAGGTTTATCCTAATATTTGTCCTCATATTGCTGTCTTGACTATTTACAAATTAGATAAGTTAAAAGAACTAGATCATAAATATAGAATCATATAGAATGCTTAGAGTTGAGAAGAAGCTTAAAGATAATCTAGTTGCAACAACCCTACATTGAACAGGAACATCTCTCACTAGAGCAGAAGCCCAAAGGGGTCCATCTGACTGGGCCCTGAACACTTCAGAGATGGGGCAGCCCTTAATCAGTTCTTCTGATGGTTCCAGTGCCTTACCACCCTTAAAGTGAAGAATTTCTACCTAATATCTAACAGGAATCTCTCCTCTTTTAGTTTAAAACTGTTACCTATTTCTACATTCTCTGATCAAGTTTCTTCCCATCATTCCTGTAGGCTGCCTCTTGATACTGGAGGCAATTATCTCCCTTGATCTGCTGAGTGTTCCTTCGATGCAGCCAGGATATTACTGACTAAATGCAGTATTTTGTTAGTGCTCAGGAAGTTTAAGCATAGAGTTGTCTATATTTTTTTTTAAAGTCATGTTGCTCTACTTGACTAGGTGGTTTGATACATATGCATCCACATCACTACATCACAGCATTTTCAGGCAAACAAATTTTACTGATTTGCTTCAGCAATAGACTGTAGGACAAAACTCAAAAGAAGATCTAAGGTACAGGATGATTTATTAGCCTATACTGCATGCATCACTGAAAAAGGAAACAAATATAATCTCAAATGTTACATATGTTCATTTTGAGATATACTCTCAGGGGAAAGTATGAGTAAGGGCTAACATTGCAGCTGAGTCATTTCCCTTTCTTTTATTAACATGGATGAGACAGCATCTGTCTTAAATCTCATCTACCTTCCCAGGAGTAGGTTGGAATCCCTGGGTTCAGGAGCCTTTTTTTCAGACACCAAGGGTGTCCAGAAACTGTTTTTGAATTCTGATAGTTCTCAGACTGCTCCATGTTCATGAAATTCAAATGTAGAGTATTTCACTCAACTTAGAGGGATTGCTATAGTATGCTGCTTTGAAAGTATGCATTATGAATATTCTGCATATGTGTATTCTACCTATTGTAGAGTGTCCTTTAGTTGCAGTGAATAGAATTGTAACTGTATACACTAAACTTAAATCTTTGATACTCAAGTAGGACTTTCACTATGGTTAACAGGGAATGAATACTCCAAATTCAGAATAGTTTTATCTATTTGAGATCTTTATGATTCAGATTCTAGCATGCCTGAGGGCTCTGTCTACTGAGAAAAGGGTTAACAAAGAAAAAGATAAAAATCCGTAGTACTGAGAATTGCAGTGAGACAAAGTGTAAGATAGCTGCAAGTTTTGAATTTCCAGGAGTTTGAATTACTACTCAGTCTCTAAATTCTGTAAAGTACCTTAGCTTAAATGTTATCTCAGTTGTTGTCAGTCATAAAATATGATTGAAGTGTCCTTTTTTTTTGGCATAGCAGACACCCTGATTATGAGGGATACTTCTAAGGTAGGGATACAGCTCAAAGGCATACAATCATTTTACTCGTGTTCTGCTTCTCAATTCAAGAAGTGCTTTTTGGGAAAGATAAATAAGATGTTGAGTATATTGAGTGGAGAGAGAATGCAGTTGTTAGAGCACTGTTTATACTTAAACAGTACCTTGTGTTTTGTAGCTTTCCTCACTTCACTGAGAATTCATCCTCTGAAGAAGCAGTCAGGTTAAAACATAAGTACTTTCTGCTTGGATGCC